ACAAGGCATCAGATTCCCTGGACCTGGAGTTATGGATGATTATCAGCTGCCATCTGAGTGCTGGGAATTAAAGCTGGGTCTTGTAATTCAAGCCCAGGTCCTCTGCAAAGGCAGCCAGTGCTCTTAACTGCTGAGCCATCTCTTGAACACCTCCCCGACCCCAGTTATAACTTTTATGGTTAAGAAAGTATTTAGCACTGAGCATGGTATTACACACTTGTAAGCCAGCACCTGGGAGTCTGAGGCAGGAGTACTGCAAGGACCACGCAGTAAGTTCCAAAGCAGTCTGAGCTTCATAATATAGGGAGACCTTGTCTCAAAAGACCAAATAGAAGGAAAAAGAAAATATTTAGTAGTTAAATATCTTATTCAAAAGGAATAGCTAAATAGTACTTAAACCTCATTATTTTGAATGCCACTATTTCCAAAAGTTATCTGAGTATTAATTTACTTTTATAATTGACATCAATTTCTACTTTTTTCAAGGAAAAACTAATTTGATAATAAAATTTACAATGTATAATTACCAGTGTCTGAAATAGTATTAAATATACTTGTAAAAAATAATTTCATAATTTTATTGACATCCTTTTACTGTTGATAACACACAGTTATTTTGTTACAGATTAATAGAAACAAGTGACGCTTATCTTTATCTTGCTAATATGTGTGATTGAAAGTGATAAAGGGAACTTCTTAAAACCATTATTCGGTTTGGATATTCTGATGACATAGACAAGTATTTTTCTTTTGTTTTATTCTAAGTTTCAATCTCTTGCTCTTTCCTTTTAGTTGTACTTTTCCATTTTTGGCTTTTGTAAAAGGTGAAAGATTTATGTGATCTGAAGAGAAACCAGAGTATACCACATTCAACTTTAGATCTTTGCACTCAGCCCTTATCCTCCTATGTGTCTTCCTATCCACACCTCACCTGACTACTTGCTAACACAGATCAGAGTATTTCAGAATTCTCCATCTTGCCCTTCATTAGCCAATCTCTTGGGTTATTAATCATATCAATCTTCATATGGGTTATTACTGCAAATTCTTCATCTTTGCTTCTCAACTATTATTTATAAATGTGTATTTTCCTGTTGTTTATGTTATCTGTCTGATAAGATCAAAAGTACAAGGGTGTGTTGAACTGGAAAAAAGAACAGAAAATAGTTACTCATTTTGCATTCCTGTTCTGCTCTAGAAGACTTACTTTTACCATCTAGTTCTCATTGTCCTTTAAAAAACTGAGGAATGCTTTATTCTGCTTTTAAATACACCAAAGTACAGAAAGATTAAATATTTTCTTATAATTCACAAGCAACTAAGTAGTAAAGCCAAATTTCAAATATAGATAGATGCATGTATTCATTTCTTATTCCACAAATATTTATTTAGCATATTCTACGTGCTGCAAAAGATCCAACCCCTATTCTCATGCATATTACCTACATAGTAGCATTGTCTGGGCTCACAGATAGTGAGCTTAAGAAGAGATTTCAAAAAAATAGAATAGCTTAGTGCGTTATGAAAAACATATTTTTGATATAGGTAAAAATTAGACTATATCTGCACTCTATTTAAGAATGTCATGCTTGAAAGGCAGAATTGTATCTTGACCTAAAAGAATCTGATATTCTGACTCCAACCCTCCATGATTCACACCAACTCACCATTATTCACACCATCATACTTTAAAAAACAAACTAGTAATAGTAATACAAAATAATATTCATTTCTATTTCAGATTTGACATTTCTCCTTTAGGGCCTCTTAAAAAGGATCATAGTATAATGTGAACATAATTTCAAATGCTCCAAATACCCCATCATGTAAATACAAGGTTCACCCAGCAGTTTGGTTCCATTGTGAGCCACAAAAGGAAATTGCAAAAAAATCCTCTTATGTAAATTAAAATGAGGCATTACAGATAAACTGTCTCTCCTGTGTTCTGATAAAATCCATGATATATATTAGAGCTTCTAGAAAAATTAACTATATCTCTTTCACATATGTTTCATGTTATTTATTGTGTTTCTCATTTTTTTAGTGTCAGTTCATACTCAGTTTATTCACCACTGCATCATGAATGCTTTGAATACTACTTAACATATAATAGACATCCTTTAAATATTGTTGCTTAAATGCCTAAACACTGTATTTTCAACTGTGTATTTTAGGTGAAACAAGCCCTCTTGGTTATCCATTGGTATTTCTCTACTTGTCCTTAAATAAACAGTCCTATTCTGCGTGCGGTAATAAAATGTTTATATAGTTTTTTCTGTGCTAGAGGAAACTACTGGAGGTTGGCTAATTTAAAAGAAGAGGTTTATTTATGTCATAGTCTTGGAAGTTAAAAGTATAAAACCAAGTGGCCCCACATGCTTGTCCTCTAGTGAAGGCCCACTTGGATGCATCACAGGAGCTGAAAAGCAGAAAGGGAAATGGCTATGTATGCAATAAAAGATCACATGTCAAGACAAAAAGCCAGACCAATTCAAAGTCATTCTCATTCTTTTTATAACTCATTCTCTTAGGAACTAACTACAGGAGACCAGCATCAAAACCTGAGGGTGATGGCTCCACCTCACACTTGGAGCCACATCTTAAAGGTTTCTACCAACTCACAACATTGCCATACTGAGGTGTAAGCTCCTAACATAATGACTTTTGGGGAGATAAACTGTAACCAAATGATAGTAACTCCCAGACTCATTAAATACCAACCAGTGCTTATATGAATGACTTTTTAAACAAGATACTTAAGTACTAACTCTACTCAAAGAACTCCTGTAATATTATACTTAGAATCCTTTTGAGTGATGCTTAGGGCTTTAAGATTTTCAGTTCCCTAAGAATTTGTAAACCTTAATTAACAAAGCACTATATGGGGGCGCTGGAGAGATGACTCAGAGGTTAAACACTGACTACTCTTGCGGAGGACCTGAGTTTGATTCCCAGCAACCATATGGCAACTAACATTCATCCTCAACTCCAGTTCCAGGGGATCTGATGCCTTCTTTCGACCTCCACGGGCATTGCATGACACAGGTGCACTTACACACATGCAAGCAATACACTCATACACATAAAATATAAATAAATAAATAAATAAATAAATAATTAATAAAGCAGTTTGTAACAGAAATCTCAACAGGCCTTATGCTTACATTGGATAGATTGGTTAATGATAGCTCATAATTTTTCAGCTGTGAGCTTAAATAGTAGCAGCGCACTTAAAATCTTACAAATTTCAAATTTTCTAATGCCTGTTTAAAACAGACTTATTAAGATGCTATTGGTAGTTTTCCTTAAAAACAATGTACTTAAATATTGCCCTATGCTGGGATGCAGCAGACCGGTAGATTTTATCAGTTCCAATAATCTTATGCTGTATGATTATGAGCAATTAACTAACCACTTATAAGTATCCTAAAAATTATAACATTAGCTAGTATATAACACATACTTGATGTATTTTAACTGCTTTGTCAGACCCTCAACTTGTGCTCAGAGAAAAAAACTTACCAGAGCTGCAATCTTATTTACAGTTTTTCCTTTCCTTCTAATGAATGTTGAATAGCAACCTTTCGCTTTGTTCTTCCATAGTTTATGCTGTGTTTGCTTTTTCTTTACTTGCTGAAACTCTTTTGCAAGTTTCATTTCTGAATTGATTCCGATTATTGTAATTTCCTTAACTTTTAGAAACAGATCACTAGAAATGTATTATGTATTTTATTACTAATTTACAGAACAGTACAGTCACATCTCATTATGGAACTTCGATTTATGGCACATCACAGATATCATATGTTTTATAAATTAAAGGTTTAAGGCAACCCTGTGTCAAATAAGCCTGTCAGTACCATTATCCAACTAGTTCACCTCATTTGTCTGTCACATTTTGTTGATTCTTATGATATTCTAAACCTTTTCATTATTCTTACATCTATTGATTAATAAGCAGCCAGCAACCTCAAGGCAAAAGCTTTCACTAGCAAAACAATTATGACTTGCTGAAGATTCAGATGATCATTAGCATACTTTAGCCATCAAATATTTTACTAATGCAACTTTATAGATATAATGATATACTTAATGATATACTACTGGATAGTTCAAACATAACTTTTATATGCACTTAGAAACAAAAACATTCATATGATATGCTTTATTATTTTATTGGTTTAGCTGTGTATTCTGAAATCAAACCTGAAATGTCTCCAAGGTATGCTTATAGAGCTATTTTGACAAAGAGTTAGAAAATATAATTATCCTGTCTCCTTCATTAACTTATTCCAGGTTTCACTGTCTCCATCTTAAGAATCATAAACTCTTAGTATATTTTAAATCCTATCACTTCATTCTTTAAAAAAAATCATAGAGCTAATTTGTATTAAAGTAGAAAACATAAAATTTTTCTTCCAGCCAGTTTATGTGGAAAGTGATTTTTTTGTACCTTTTAACCATGATATAGAATCACAGAACTAGGGGAATATAAAATGTCCCCTGCCTTTTAGTAATTAATTTATTTCAATAATAATAATCAGGCTAGGGATGTAACTCAGCATGCCTAGTGTATACAGGCCTTTGGGTTCCATCTTAAGCATCACAAAATAAAAACACAAACAAAAAAAACCCTAAAAGCCAAAGGGGAAAAAAAAATGCCCAGTCTTCTTATACCTCTGAAAAATCTTTTGAGCTATCACAGCAATCTGAGGCTTTGTTTTTAGAACTTGGGTTATCAGACAAGATAAGTTTTCTATCAAATTCCTTGAAGCTCTGAGGAAAGGCATAAGATGATCCTGTTAATATTCTCTGGATTTTCTTCATTGTTAGCTTATATTCAGTGATCCTGAAAAACTGAATATGGCTGACTTTAAAAATATAAATGTTTGAGGAACTACAAAGCGTGGTTTATAATTATCTTTAAGTGAAATTTACTACTCAACCTTTCTTCTTTTTTGGCTAATTCACTCAGTCTGCTATTTAATCTTTAATTACAGGCCACAAAAGAAGTAATAGAACGGGAAGCACCAGGGATGGCCCTGGCAATGCTGATGGGATCACTTAATGTTACACCTCTGGGCATGCTCTCTAGGTAAGAAAGCCACTGACAAATTCAAAGAAAGTGAATTCCTGACCACAAATCAGAACAATACAATCACAAATCTAAGAAACTTTTGTTACAAGGCTTAAGTTCATCCCTTTTTATCCAGTGTTAATAGTCTTACTGTCTTCTCTACCTAAATCTTAAGCAGTTCCCCCTGTTTGTTTTTTTTTTGTTTGTTTGTTTAGTTTATGCTTATGTTAAACTTTTGGAGACTGTAATATCATTGCTGAAAGATATCAATCCAGAAGAGTTCAGTTTATCAAGATGTATTCTTCTTGTGATTGCTTATAATCACAAATTGATATTTATCAATTGTAGCTAAATGCTATTTAATGAAACTAACCAGCAAAAATCAAATGTTTTTATAAGTTAGGAGCTTCCATTTGAATTTACAAATAGCCATATTGATGGGCAGTCATTTAAAAGGTTCAATTCATATTGATAATCTCTTGCAGTTTGTATATTTAAATTACTACATTAAATCAGTATATTAAATTAGTATATTTAAAACCATACATTTTTTGACATAGATGGTGGCATATATCTTCAGTCTAATGGTTTATTACTATCTTAGTAAATCTTAGATTAAAATCTTATAAGTGATGACAGCATACATCATTTAAGATAAGGCTTAATTTAGTTAGAATCTTTTTTAATGACCTGAAATAGACAGTGTGATAGCCAAAAATATACAACTTTATACTTCAGAATTTTATAATGGTCCTAACCACTTTTTTTCTGTGTGAAATCGAAATATAAAATCTAAGTAATTTACTTAATTATAAAAATGTGAATCAAGATGGCCTTTCTGTTACTTGAATTGAATTTATATACCATCAGTGATAGTAACTGGATGCCCAGCAATGGAGTCATCAGTTATTATATTCTTCTTTCTGTTGTATGTAGGGTATTATGATATTTATTTTAATGAGAGCAAATAAAGAGTTAAAGTATATTAGAGATTTTTTTTAATTATTTAATAACCACATGATTAGAAGCATTTCATTACAGCATTAACATATTCAATAACAATTTCCAGAGCAAAGATGCTTCTCTTTCAAAATTAGCTGTAAAATTTGAGGTTCACAGTTAAATTAATACAGTTATACAATATTGAACTCAGTATAACCCTTATAAGACATAAAATTGAATGAGGTTTTAACTTTTTTTTTAAATTACAACATAGAATAAGTAGATGGCTATGAAACATCTTAAAAGATGTTCAACATCACTAATAATCAGGGAAATGCAAATTAAAACCACTTTAAGA